ATCCTGCCCTGTCGCTGTAGGTGTCGACCACCTCCCTCAGGTTCTGCAGCGTCAGCCTCGGCAGCTCCGCGGCGTCGAACTCGGCACCTCGCCAAGTGTATGGATGAACTTCATCCTCTCGAAGCTCGTGCTTCCACAGCGGGCCCCACTGCTGCATGATCTTCTCCATAGCCGCGTCGCCGCCCAGGGGCATGAGCTGCTCCTGCTCCTCATCCAGCACCTCGAACACTGACGGCTGGACCTGATGACCAGCGCGAATGAAGCCGAAGGCCGCACTGCCGCCCTTCTCCTGGGCAGCTGCACATGCCCACGCCTTCCACTCGCTCTGGTTGGCCTGCGCGTCGCGCTGCCGCAGCTGCAGCAGGTGGTCGTCGAGCGCCTCCAGCATGTAGCCAGCAGCTGACGCACTGCCAGACCGCAGCACCGTGACCACCTTGGCGATGGACATCTTCGCCAAGGCCCCAGTGGACGGCCACCAGCCGTCCTCGATCACGAAGCCCTCGATGACCTGCAGCTGCGTGTTGAGATGAGAAAACCTTCCCAACCTCGCTCCAGCACGTAGGCTTTCTGCTGCGCTGCTTGCCGAGCTGCTGATGTGAGAGATGTCATTCTCCTGAACTCTAGCGATGACCGAGCTTTGAACTGCCTGCTCCACTCCTGTGCCAAGGGTACCCTCTTGAGCTTCAGCCCAGCAGCTCGCCCACGACGCCTCTCGCAGACATCATGCAGCTGGCAGAGGTAGTCCTCCGCGTGCATGAACCAACTCTCGGCGGCCTGTTGGATGTCCCACGGCTCCGTACCTGGCGCCCAGAGCCATTCAGAATCATCAACTTCTCGCGGCGCAGGCCGAGCAGGAGGAGGAAGCTGAAGATGAAAGCCCTCAGGTCCATCTGCTGCCGTGACAGTGGCCCTCGCATGTACCCCCCGCAGTTTGAGCAAGACTGGTACGTGCGTGCAAATCGGCGTGGCCCAACACCGAGACTACCTCCATGCCAGTGCTCGCAAGAACTTGAGAGCATATGAAGAAATCCAGCTTCCTGCTACCACCAGTGGCCTCATCAGTGGCCGCGACAACGTCACGAGCACGCCGTGCCCACTCCTGGAGGTCCTGTGGCTCCATGTCCCAGTCGCCGCCAGCTAGTCATGGCCCTAGAAGCAGGGACACCAGCTGCAGCAAACCTCCAATATACGATATGTTCGGCTCGGTCATGCCTATCTCCGTCGTCAAGTACACCGAGATGACACAGACTGGCGCAGTGAGCCCCGTGTTGACGGCCGCAACCTGACATCGGCTGCCAGGAAGATCGCGCCGAAGAGATGCTGGCACTTCCCGCGCAAGCACAGGCACAAACGAGGAGATGGCAACACCTGCAGAAGACTCCATCACCCCTTTCACCTGTGCTATCAGCTTTGCCTATCACCAACTGCCCTCCAGACATTGTGCCCAGCCCATCGCTTTGAGGAGCTGAGCTGCTTGTCAAACTTGAGCCGATGCTCCTGAAACAGAAAAACGTTGGGTGCCTCTCTGTTTGCATCAGCCTCCGCATACCATGCGCACAAGTCCTGAGCCTTCGACCAGTACGTGACATTGGACGACACGATAGCCAAGTCTTCCAGCTCGGTGGGCCCCTGACTGCCCAACTGCCTCTTCTCGAAGTCCGCTTCGAGCGCTAGGGGGGGGCGAGATGCCCGCGTGCTTGAGATATCCAATCTTAGATAGACAGCCAGCCCCTGGAGGTCGGTACCCTCTGGCCTCCGAGGGAGAGCTGGGTGGCGCCGAGCAGTGCATGCCCGAAGGCTGGTACCCTCTTGCACCCCCTATGCTCTCACAGGCGGCTGAGCAGTACGTACCTCCAGGGGGGTCCCCTGCAGCGCCAGCTCGGCTAAAGCCCTGGCTTGGCGGTAGTCCGAGCCTTCTTAGCGGGCATGAGGCACTCCTGGAACCGCTTGAGCTTCTCACGATCCTCGGGCTTGGCAGGGTCGCACTCGGGGAAACCGGCGGCTTTGAGGCGCTCAGGCAAGCTGGGGTCGTCCCAGTCGAACCGCGCGTCGCCATCCGCGTCGCCTGCAGCGCCACCAGCGCCACCATCAGGAGCACCGCCACCAGCTGCCTGGCCCGCTGCCTCAGCGGACGCCTGCTGCTCCTGCTGCTTAGCCTGCTCCGCGAGCTTGGTCTTGATGGCGGTGGCCTCCTCTTCGAGGGCCGAGCCAAAGACCGTGAGCGGGGCAGCCAGCCCCACCAGGTGCTCCGAGGCCTTGAGCTTGCCCAGCACCTCCTGCATGAGGCTAAGAAGCTCGCTGGCCGTGCCGACGTCGTTCTTGCCCTCCGCGACCTTCCCGAGGACGGGACCGGCGTTGGCGAGCTCCTTCTTCTTGATGACCGCGCTGATCTCCGCCAGCGCCTCGCGATGCTGCTTCTGGTGCTCCAGCTCCTGATCGAGCTCCGCCTGCTTGGCCGCCAGCGCCTCTCGCGCAAGCTGCACCCGCTCGGAAGCTTTCTCGAGCTGCTTCTCCTTCTTGATCTTACGGAGGTGTAAGTCTTGCAGGGACTTAGAGGACAAGTCCGCCTTCGCAACCACCCCCACGTCTTCATCCACTTCGACAGGCACAAGCGTCGCTGACGCCGCCTGTGCTTGCCCTTCAGACATGCCGTGCTTTGCAGGGTTAGCGGGCAGCGCCTGCTGGAGCTCCCGCCTCGCCTGCAACATTGCCTCCTTCTTGAGCTGTGTCGCCGTACGGGTGGACGTAGGGGGCCCCTTGCCCCAGCTGCCTCCTGCCTTCAGCGGCCCTGCTGTGGACGGCTCCTGAGTCCCGTGAGCTGCGATTGCTTCAAGGATCCAGGGCGGCGCCTTCTTTCCGCACTGCTGACACTGCGTGCGCCAGCCACGATTCTTGTGCCCTCCACAACGGCCGTTGCACTTCCACTGGCGGAGCGGCGGAGGCGCATCGCGGCGACTGCTGGGTGCCATGCAACTGGCTCGTGACAGCTGTGCCACTTCCAATCGCGCTGCCACAAAGGTCTGAAACCTGGGCATGGCTAGGAGGAGGAGGAGGAGGAGGAGGAGGAGGAGGAGGAGGAGGAGGAGGAGGGGGAGGAGGAGGAGGAGGAGAAGGAACGATCCCCAAACGACCCCCTGTGACTGCACTCCAGCTCGTGGGAGCGGGCGGACGAGCAAGTAGACGTATTCTAAGGGGGAGTGGGAGGGCTGGAGGAAACGGGAGAGAGAGGAGGTCGAGGACGAGGGGGCGAGGGAAGGGGCGGGGGGTGGGTGGCGAGGGGGCGAGGGCAAGCTAGGTGCGCTCGCGCCATATCCGACAACCGGCTCGGAGATGAGCCCCTGACGCTCCTGCCGCGGGGCCCGTAATTGCAGGCGCAGGCCGTGCCGGTCGGGACAGTGCCTGGGTGGGGCCCGCGTGTGGGTTTTGGCCGGGAGGAGGGAAGGGGATACAAAGGGCGCGTTAAGCAGACAATTGGCCTGCTAGCAAGTTGTTCCTTTCTTGGTGGCCTTGGGGGGCCCACAGAGGCCTGAGGCCTAGTACACCTCAGGAGGCCCAGGGCTCGACGGTTCCACGTGCCCCCAGACTTCCGATAGCAAGACCTCTTATCGTATGTGTCTGCTGCATTCGGCTAGGCGTGGGAGTGACCCTTTGCTGGAGTGGCCTTTGGTGCGGGCACACAGTTTTCCCGCCATCACTGGCCTCTCCCGCTTGGATTGCTTGGATTTGGCCCCATAGCGGCCCCCGTAAGCCGCGCACCAAAGGTCACTCCTGCCCAGTGCCACTCCTTGTGTGCAGCTGATGCATATCCTACATCGGCGGTGCGCCCAGGGGGGAAGTGAGAAGGAGCGGGCCTTCGCAGAGGGCTCAGTCTGAGAAGTCCCGCCGCTTTCTGAGATGACCTTCTCACTCCTTCTCACTTTCCCCCCCTCGCTCGCCGCCAATCCTTGCGCGCAGCTGGTGCATCTCATGCGGTGCTCGCTCGAGCAGGTAGACTCCGCAGCCGCTGGCTCAAGGGAGCGGCCAGATGCGGCTGTGGCGGCTCCCGCGTAGGGCGGCGGGCGGTGGGCGCCCTCGCCAGGACTCGGGGGCCAAAACGAGTTGTGGCGTTAAGCGGCCACGCGCAGAAAGGGGGGGGAGGAGGAGGGGGGAAGGCTTCATAGAAGCACCCCTGCTTCTTAGAAGGCGCAGGCCTTAGCTGGGAGGAGAAGGTAAGCATACCTCTACCCTTCCCTCGTTTTCCCCCTGTTGGGCCTCCTGGGAGGCCCTCGTCGCCACCGCTGGATTTGCCTCGAAGTTCTGGTCAGAACGCACCCCGGGAGAGGTCTGGGGAGTAGCCGTATCAGTACAGTTGGCTTCCCCAGATACAATCAAGGCGCTAGAAGAAGGACCACTTTGCGCTGGAATAAGGACCACTTTGGGCTCAGGAGGGGCTCTGGCTTTCGGGCAGTTCCTCAGGTTCAGCTCGGGGAGCCTCTTCGTGGCCGAGGCTCACCGTGGCCAGGAATGCCCCTACGTTTCGTAGGCAGCGCTCCATGTGGCAAGCACGATGACTGCATTACACGCCCCCCCCCAAATCGACACGACCGAGGGCCACGCCAGAAGGTGCTCCAAAGGGTTGCGCCTGGTGCGGGCCATACGAAGCCAGTGTTCCGGCGGCGTTCTTGGGGCCACCCTTTGGCTCGGGGCACGCGCTTCAAGAGCATGTTTTAACCCCTGGCGATCTCGGGCATGACCCGGGCGGGTGGGAAGGGAGGGGCAGGGAGCGGGTCACGTCGCGATTCGTGCCGGCGCCGTCTGGAAATGCTTAGGAGTGGCTCATTCCCAGACTGCGCCGGCGCGAGTCGTGACCTCACCACGTGGGGCGGGGGCCGGTCACGGGTGTGATCGCGAATAACGAAAACACGCGCGCCTCTCTCCTCACCTGCTCCGCCCCGCAGGAGGCCGACGGGGGCGTCAGAGGAGTCCACGCCCGCGGCTGTGCGTCGTAGCTCGCTGGCGACATGGGCTGCGGCGCGGTGAAACCCAACGCGCAGGAGCCGTGGCTGCTGCTGCGCCTCGCCGCGGGCCAGGACAACGAGGGGGACGCGCAGAGGCCGAGGAACCACGAATGGCGCAAACGTAAGCTTTCGGAGGCCCGCGCCTGTTTCTCGGATTGGCGCTGGACCCCCCTCCCTGACGCGCGGAGCGCGCCGAGGGCGGCGCCGGAGGCGCCGCTGGTGGGCCCCAGCGCCGAGCCGATCAATCCGCGCGGACCTCCGAAAGTTCAGGTTTCTGCCATCATTTGTTTCCCGAAGAGGATCCTGGCGGGCAAGCCGAAGCCCAGAAGCGACCGCCTCTGCGGCCAGACCGCGGTGCACGTCGCGGCGCTGGCGGGGTCCGCGAACGTGCTCGCCCTCTTGCTGGACAAGTTCGCCGGCAAGGCTCGGAGGAGGGCGACCCCCGAGACAGCGGGTAGTTGGCCTTCGGTGGGTCCCCGCTCGCCACGGCTGGACACAGCCCAGACAATTTACGGCGTTTGGATCCCGCAGGAGGGGTGCACGGTGCACCGATGTTGAGTTGCCGCTTTCGCAGCTCGCCCTCCTCCGAAAGGCAGACCAGGCGGTAGAGGACGAGTCCAAGGATCAGGGGCAACGATAGGGGGGAATGGCTCAGGCGGGAACATATCGACCCCGAAGCGCCCATTGGTCGCCGATAGGGGTCTGACAGCCCCACCCCGCCCAGGAAGGTGCGGATCCGCCATCGAGGGCTCATCGCCGAGCTATCGGCGATAAGTACGGCCGATTCCAGGTCGATGCCGCCCCCACCTGAGACAGTGCCCCCTTGTCGTTGCCCTTCGAAGGACTCGCCTCTGCACTTCGCGGCGCAGTCCTCCCAGCCGGGCGCGGCGCGCGTGGCGCAGATGCTGCTCAGCCACAGGGCGCAGGTGGACTCAATGGCCGCGGGCGACCGGACCCCGCTGCACGTGGCCGCGCGCTTCGGCTGCAAGGACACCGTGGCCAGCCTGCTGGCCTCCAGGGCCAGGCAGAGCGCGAGCCAAACGGGTTTGGGGCGATCCCGTGGGCCGTTCTCGTTTTGGCTTTGTTCGGCACCAAAGGAAGACAGAACGAGGGGAAGCATGCACAGGACGAGCACGGAAATCACTATTCAGCTCGAGCCCTGGGGCCAGGCCCGACCTGCAGAGCAAGCAGGGCGACGCGCCCCTCCACGAGGCCGCGCGCGGGGGCGACGCCGAGGTCGTGGCGCAGCTGCTGCTCGCCCACCCAGCGGCACGGGACGCGGCCAACGCCGAGGGCCGCACGCCGCTGCACGTGGCCGCGGCCTGTGGGCACGAGGGCGCTGTGCTCGGCATCGTTTAACCGATGCCCATCCCCATCCCCATCCCCGATCCCCCCTCCCCCATCCCGATCCCCACCATCCCACCACCCCAGCTGGGGATACGCCCCTCGACACCCGAAGGGAACAGCCTACATCCCCACCTAGGGGGGCAAGCCGGCCAGTCTGGCCTGAGTCGAGCACGAGGGCGCGGTGCTCGAAGAAGGAAACTGCATCAACATAAACTTTCGGCGCTCCGCGCGGATTTCTTGGATCAGCGCTGGGCAAAATCTGGCGGCGCCTCCTTTGCCGCCCCTGGCGCCTGGCGTGCTCCGCGCGCCAGGGAGGGGGAGTTCAGCGCCGATCTTAAAAATCGTCGCGGGCCTCCCACAGTTTATGTTTATGCAGTTTCGGGTTCCTCCAGGTACGGCGCCTCCTGGAGGCCCAGGCCTCGCCAGGCGCCAGGGACAGGAACCAGAACACCGCCCTCCACCTGGCGGCCCACATGGGCCGCGATCTCAATGTCTGCTGGTCACGCGATCGCCGATCACAGATTGAAGCGATCGGGGGATCATGCGGTTGCCGCTCACGTGATCGGTTCGGCTTGATCATTCGACCGTGCGGGCTTGAATGCGTGATCGATCTGTGATCGGCGCGGCAGCCATCGTGATCGGGGTTGTGATAGGCTCGCGTGATCGGATGGCGTGATCGGCCGAGTGATCAGCCAGACACTAAGGCCGAGATCAGGCCACAGACGTGTTGGTGAGGATGGACCCTGCTCTCATGTCCGCCGCAAACGTGCACGGCCAGACCCCGCTGCATCTGGCCGCCAGCGAGGGCGGGTTCATGGCAGTGGCCCACCTGCTGCATGTAAAGGCCAGCCTCGAGTCCGCCGACGCCGCTGGCGACACGGCGCTCCACCTGGCCGCGCGGGGTGGCCACGCAGAGGTAATCGCAGCGGCCGGGCGCACCAGGCAGTTGATGCAGACGCAGAACAAGGCCGGCCGCACTCCCGTGCACGAGGCGGCCGCGGGCGGGCACACGACCGCGCTGCTGAGGCTGCTGGAGAGGAACTTCCTCGTCAACCAGCCAGACGGCCAGGGCCTGTGCCCGCTGCACCTGGCCGTGGAGAACCTCGAGGACGGCCACCAGGTATCGAAGAAGAGAAAACGCGATAGCCAGAAATGTTCGAAGGTGCGGGGCTCCCCCTCCCAGCGCCGATCCACGAAATCCGCTCGGCCCCTTCAAGTTTCATGTGCATGCCGATTTTCGTTCCTCCAAGGCAGTCGACGAGCTTTTGCAGGGGCAGGCTAACCCCGATGCGGTCGGCGGCAGTGCTGGGTCGGGCGCCCTGGCGGTGGCGGCGAGGCAGCAGAAGGTGCTGACTGTGAGCTCGCTGCTCCTGGCGGGCGCGAAGGTGGCCCAGGCCGACCAGGAGGGCAGCGCGCCCCTCCACCACGCAGCGGCCACGGGTAACCTGGACGTGGTGGAGCTGCTCTTGGAGAGGTCGTCAGGGGCTACGTTGGCCGAAGAAGAAAAAACGGCATGATTGGCTCAGGGGGCAATGCATCGACTCCCAAGCGCCCATTCGTCGCCCGATAGCCTGCACCGCCCAGGAGCATGCGGTTTCGCTATCGGGGTATATCGCCGATCTGTCGGCGGTGTAACGCCGACTCCAGCTCTATGTTTCCCCAGCTCCCTCCCATGAACCAGTCCCCCCTATCGCTGACCCTCAGGTCGGCCTCCGTCAACCAGCAGAATCTTCAGGGTGACTCGCCTTACACCATCGCCAGCACCCGCGGGTACACACATCTGGTCAGAGTCATGAACGACGCCTGGAAGTCCCCTTCGCTCACAGACAGCGGCCCCGTCATTCAGGCGTCCCGTTCGCTCCTGCCTGAGGCAGCCCGCACGATCCGCCTCCCGACTCAGGAGACGCCGGGCTCCAAAAGCGGCTCCACGGGCCTCAAGAAGCTCGTGCACACGTCCTCGTTGCGCTCAGTGTCCCCTGCCGGGGGGCCCAGCTTCAGTCCTGCCGCAGACAGGGACGCGCTGCAGTCGCTGATGCAGCAGCCCGGTCCGCAGCCTCAGGCAGCCACTCCGCTCGCCAGTGCAGGCGCAGTCCACCAGCCGCTGGTGGCGCAGCCGCCTGGGGGCGGCGTCCGCACCATGCCAGCCGTGCCACAGCCGGCGCCGGTCCCACAGTATGGTTCTGGTCCCGCTGGCGGCGCGCTGGCCTCGACGTGGCCCACGCCCGCTCCAGGTGCGCAGTACGGCACCACACCACAGCACGGCGCACCGTCCCCCGCTCAGGCGCAGTACGGCGCAGCGCAGGCGCAGTACGGCGCAGCGCACCATGGGCAGCACGTCGTTGGACCCGCCGGCGCCGCGGCTGCGCCGATGGCCGCCACGTGGTCGTCCGCACCGCAGCCGTCCGCAGCGCAGCCGCCGCTCTACGGGCCTGCCGGCGCAGCAGCCTCGATGCCAGCGCAGTACGGCGGCGGCACTTCTCCGTCCGCAGCGCAGCCGCCGCTCTACGGGTCTGCTGGCACGGCAGCCTCGATGCCAGCGCAGTACGGCGGGGGCACTCCCGGGCTCGGGGCGCAGTTCCCAGGCCAGGCCGCGGGGCAGTTCCCAGGCCAAGCCGCGGGGCACGCTGTGCAGGCCAGGCCGAGTGCGCCAGCGGCCAGCTACGCCAGCGGGCCAAGCACGGGGCCCGCTGGGGGAACACTCCAGCCACTCGGCGGGCCCTGTGGCAGCAGGAGCGCTGCGACGGGCGGCGACGATGACCTGGACCGCCTCCACGCGGAGCTGAGCGCTCCTGCTGGGGCGCGGCAGCCGCCCCCTGGCAGGATGCCAGGCGGCATGTCACCGTCATCGCCCACGCGGCAGTCGCAGTCGCCATCCACTGGGCGGGCACTGTCGGTCGTCAGGGAGGCGGAGGAGGAGCGAGGCTCGGTGGGATCGCCGCACCTCTCGGCTGCCACCCCCTCGTCACTGGGCGCGGGCACGGGCGGGAAGTCGCTGCGCCCGCTCCAGCCGTCGCCGCTGTCGGCGCAGACCCAGGCGGTCGGGCGAAAGCCAAACCAACGCCCGCTCTCGCCAGCACCGGCCCAGCGCTCGTCCAGCAGCCTGTCCGGCTCGCGCTTGGGCACCGGCGGCCGCGTCGGCGGCGTGGGGGCCACGTCCACTCCAGGGCCCGCGGGGACGCCACCGCTGGGCACTGGCGGCCGCGTCGGCGGGGTGGGGGCGTCCGCCAGGCAGCCCACAGGCGGCCGTGTCGGCGGGGTGGGGGCCACGCCCACTCCGGCGTCCGCCGGGCAGCCCACGCGGCCGCAAGATTCGGCCGTGCGGCCCGCGGCGCAGGCGACGAGCCAGACGCTGGCGAGGCCCAGCGCGAGGCCCACGCCGGGCACGAGGCTTGGAGGCCTCCGCGGCCCCCCCTGAGGGGAGGTTGGCGATCATGCGGCGCCATGAAGGAAGCGGGTCCCGTTGGAAGCCTAATTAGGTCACTTGCACGGGCGCGAAGCTTCGCGCACCGCGGCTTGGGTTGGAGAGGCACCCTTCTCCAGAGCGGCCCCGCGAGGGCGCGAAGATAGCCGCGCGTCACGCATTGCAGGGCGCGATGTACGAAGTTCGGTGGTCTGGGTCCTGAGGGAAGCGGGCTCTGGAAGTCTCTCGTCGTTATTGGCCTCTCGGGGTCCTGCACAGGCCTCGGGGTCGTGAGAGAACAACGGCTCGGGGTGAGGAGCCGATCCTGGGGGACAGCTCCAGGGTCCAGGGCACGCTTGCCCCAGGACCCGTTTCCTTCATGTCGAATGCGGCGCCCAGTTTCCACGAGCGCCAGGCCGAGCTGAGGGGGCGCCCGCGCGGGGACCGGCGTAACAGACGCCAGCGCGGCGGACAGCTCAGACGACGGCCATCGCCCCTCTCCCAAAAAGACGCGCCGCGAGGGGATCCAGCAAGAGCAGCAGTACGTGGGAGATGTATCCATGTCATTGGTTATCTTGCGCAGCTGATTTCTAGAGCTCGGAGCTCTCTCTTTTCGTCTCGCTCGCTCGTGACATCTCCCTCGACCCAACCACTTCTCTCGGCCCCCCTGATCTCCTCCCCGAACGTGATTCCCAAGACGGCCTAGAAAGGACGCCAATATGTCTTACAGGCCTCGACGATGATCCTTCAGGCCCAAAATTGGCTCCAAGAGACCCCAAGATAGTACATGGAACTCTCCCGAGAGACGAAACGTGTAAGTTTTGGTTTGTCACACTTATTTCTTGTTTGCAGACTGATGCGGAAGAGGTATGCTCTGCAAGAGGCAATGATGGCGCGCATCTAATTGTGAAGCCATGGGCATTCTCTCGTGCGGACTGCCTTGAGGGACGACGGCCGTAGCAGCAGACACCGTAATAGAAGGCTGCGCCGTGGCTTCGTCTACCCCTACTCCCTCCGGCTACTTTCAATTGCGGGCGCTGAAAGCAGGCATCGCGTGCGTTCCGCTTTCGGCCGTTGACTTGAAGAAGGGTAACTGCAGCCTGGGCGAATGTAAGAAGTGTGCGTGTGGTTGCCCCTTGTTTGCAGGCCGCAGTGGCAGAGGCGGGCGATGCAACTGGTAACGATGCCGTCCAAAAGTTAATGCCGTCTGAGTTTCGCATTCAGCCGTCTGCCTCAGAGAGCTGGGGCAGTAGCAGCAGTTAGTGTGTTGTGCAGGCATGCCGCTCTCGCATGAGGGCAGACTTTCACAGCTGGGTGGTGCAGCACGCAGTGCCGCTGCGGCTCCCATGCTGCCGAGGCATGTGCGCAGCACAATCCGTTGTTGCATGCACTGGCAGCGCGTTGCAAAGGTCTGGGCCCTTGTAATTCAGGCATGTCGTTTTCGCACGAGGTCAGACTTTTACAGCTGGGTAGTGCAGCACGCAGAGCCGTTGCGGATCTCACGCTGCCGAGGCACATGCGCGACAGAAGAAAACGAGGTCGATTGCGTCGACATTCGCATGTAAGCTGCCCGCGTAAGGTCGCGCGTAAGCGCCCTCGTTTCCAGCGTAGCGTGCCGCGCTGACGGCTCGCGTAATCCACCGCGTAAGGTTGCTATTTGACCTCGCGTATGCCCGTTTCTTCTTGTCGCTCACATGTGCAGCACCATCCGTTGTTGCATGCATCGGCGGCGCGCCGCAGAGGTCGGGGGGGCATCCCTTGCCGCGCGCGTGGTGCTCGGAGGGAGCCTTGGTAGGCCCCATCCCATGCATCCAAGACGCTGGAACAAGAACCGCCTTGGGCCGAGGAGGGGCTCTGTTTTTCGGGCCGTTCCTTACATCCAGGCCGCGGACCCTGTTCGGAGCCGAGGCTCGCCATGGCCAGAGAAGCTTTTCGCTCCTTCATATAGCGTCCCTTATGGTAGCACGATGGCTGTGTGGTCTGCAGCTCGGCAGCCTGTCGCGGCCAGGTGACATGTTGCCCCGGTCGGGCTGGCTTGCTGGGCCTTCGCCCTTCTTTTCGCCCGCCCCCAAGGGAAAAGGAGCCCTCCCCTAAGGCTCCCGCGGCCGCCCTGCCTGTGCCTGGCGCATGGCTGTGGTTGCTTGCCCCAGCGATGAGGATTGCTTCTGTTGCGCTGCCCTTGGCGCCCCCCCCCGCTCTCGCCCCTGGCGCGCGCGTTGGCCATGGGCTGCGACTCTGGCTTGCCTGGTCGGTTCCTTCCACAGCCTGCGCCTCCAGCGTCCCGCCCCGTCTCCAAGGACCCTTCAATCTCCCTCAGCATGCACCTGTGCGGCTTCTGGTCTAGATTTGCCCATCTCGAGTGAAGAAAGAGACCGGAGAAATAGCCCAAACAGAAATTATTTTGGGCTATAGTGCTATGGGGCTATAGGGCTATAGGGCTACAAGGCTATGGGGCTATGGGGCTATGGGGCTACAGGGCTATATATGGCCATAGGGCTCTAAGGCTACAAGGCTATAGGGCTATAGGGCTACCAGGCACCTCTGGGCAACACCGGGCGCCTCTGGGCACCCCCGGGCACCCGGGCCGGCCACCGAAATCGCCGGCCCACCTCACCTGACCATATGAATCCGCTGGGACCCCTACAGAGGCAAGCTCTGATTGAGGAAATACGGGGGCCATGACCAAGATGTCGCGGGATTTGTCGGATCTTGTCGGTGCCGGTCTTGGTCATGGTCCATGTCGGCCGTCGCCGAGTCGCGAGAAGGATTCACGAAATGATGCTGACCATGACCGACGGTGACCAAGATCGACACGACGTTTCCGCATGCAGGTTTGGTCATGGTATCTGTTTCCTTCCCCTCCACTATCCTTGCATTTCTGCGGCGCCACGGCCCCAGAAAGTGTACAAGTGTCACTGCTCCCGAACGGGGATTGAGGAGGATAGTCACGAGCCTGACGAGGGCGAGGAAGTGGTTTATAAGGACAAGGAGGATGGTTGCCGCATCATTCTAACACGGACTGGGCAGATCCCGTGCTTGGCCATGAGCTTGGAGTCTGGTGAGAGTCTCATCCAGGCAGGGTCGGCTCTCTATCATTGAACGGCAATCAGCCCAAACTCTCCCCGAGATTTGTCATTGATGTGTGCATGCACTTCACAATATTGCATGCGCCCCGTGATCCGTGTCATGGGCGTCATGGCCTTGATCGTCTGCTCCGCTCCGCACACCGCTTCGTGATCCTTCTTTGTCGCATCAAAGAGGATGTGTCGCCGCGCCGTTTGTTCCGACGCGCAGCTTTGCATCTTGGGGAGGTCCCCTCGGCCGCCAGGGCAAATGCCGCCTTGGGCGTGGTGGGTTTGCCATGGGTCGCGGGACGCAGGCATTGCCGTGGGTTTGCCGTGGTGTCGGCGTCGTCCATTTGGGCGCGTCGAGAACAACCGGTGCGGCGACATGTGCTGCCGATGTCAGCGTCGTTTTGCGTGTTTGGTTGTGCGCATCTCTCTGATTGAACCGTTTCGCACAATCCGCCAGGCCATGATGCCGCATCGCTGGCATTTGCCCGCGTGTTCGTTCCCCCTGCTGCCGCTGCTGCTGCTCCTCCTCCTCCTCCTCCTCCTCCTGCTCCCCCTCTCCCTCCTCCTCCTCCTCCTCCTCCTCCTCCTCCTCCTCCTCCTCGTCCTCGGTCCATTATCCGTTTGCAGCTCCTATCTATCCGATCGATATCCCGCTCTTTAGATAATTGTGCTGAGTGCAGTGTATATTCGTGTGCTGGTATCCAGGCTGCGAAGACACGGACGACAGACCTTCGTGGGGAGGCTCATCCGATGGCCTTCGGCCAATGCCGCCACCGTGCCTGGATTGTGGGTCAGAGTCCTCGTGGAGGCATTTTGGGGTCTCCTCAGAGGGCTCTCGGCGGTCCCTGGTGAGCAGTTTCGGGTCCTCTTGGAGGCGTCCTGCGATCGTCTTGGGGGCCTCTTGGGGCTCTTGGGGCTCTCTTGGGACCTCTTGGGGGGCATCCTGGGCGCCTCTTGGGGCCTTCTGGGCGCGTCTTAGGGCCGAGGGCTCGAAGTGTCCGTTCGGGATCCACCTCTGGGCCCTCTCTGGGGGCTGTCCTGTGGCCCTGTTGGGCCGTCTTGAAAAGCCTCTTGGGCCGTCTTGGGGCCCTTTGGGGCCGTCTTCAGGCCATTCTGTCTGGAGCCGTCTTGGGCCGATCTGGGGGGGGCCTCTGCGGCCGTCTTGGAGCGTCGGGAAGCCGACATGGCGAGAACGGGTCCTCTCTTGGGGCCGTCCTGGGGCATTGTTGGGTCGTCTTGGAAAGCCTCTTGGGCCGTCTTGGGGCCATCTTCAGGCCCTTGTGGAAGCCTCTGGAACCGTCTTGGGGCGATCTTGGGGGCCTCTGGGACCATGTTGGAGCGTCGGGAAGCCGAAATGGCGAGAACACCGAAATCGTTCAAAAGCCCCAGGACAATCTATGATTTGAGCCTCTCGGGGCGCTCTTGGAAGTGCTCTGGGAGGCTTCTCAGGGCGTCTTGGAGGCCTCCTGGGCTGTCTGGGGGCCATCTCGTGTGTCTTGGAGCGGCCTTGTGGTGTCTCGGAGTACTCTTGGACTTTCTCGGGGGCCTCTTGGGGTCCTGGCCCTTCTGCGGGCTCTCTGGGAGCCCCGAGGGCGGCGCCCAGGAGCAAACCATCTCTGATGGGACATTGCCGGAGATCAGCGCGGTTACTTTTCGGCAGGTGTCCCCCAGGGGCTGCCCACGCGCGCGAATTTGAAATCTTCCACACCCGTTACCGGAGATTTTAGCACGCCTCTGGCCCGTTGGGTTGGCGAACTAAGTCATTGGGTGGCACATAATGCAGGGAGCGCGTGCTGTGAGACAAGCCAAGGGGTGTGCATCACCTGCCTACCAGGGTATTTTCAAACAGCGCTGACAAAACAAATCCCTTCCCCCCAGCACGCACTGGATGTTACCTGTCTTAGATTTGTGCGTAGCATATGGGGCACATCAATGCCGAGTTCAAAGGTTTGCCTCAAGCTGTCCTGTATTACTGCGTTCGGATTCTTGACATGGGCAGCACCCGCTTGTTCTGAAGCCATGACTTCAGAACAACCTTGCTCTTGTTCTGGCAGCAGGACTCTCTTTATTTGGGCCGTGGCATCATCTTGGGAGCCATTCCCTTGCAGCCCCCCGTTCCGCGTTTCCTTGCCCGCTGCTCTTTCCCGCTGCGGGTAAAAGGGGGGGAGAGGGAGATATGGAGTGAAGGGTGGGAAGGGACGAGGGATGAGTGGGATGGCGGAGTGATGAGCAGCAAGGAGGAGGAAGGAGGCGTCGGAGGCTCAGGAGAAAGGACCAGCTGGAGGATCAGCGGTAGGAGGTGGGGGAGTCTCAGGGCCGTCTTTTATCAGGTATCCCCTCCAGTGAGTGCTCCTCCGTGCCCCGTCAGCATGTTACGGTTAGGAGCGTTTGCTTAGTGTGTCGCTCCGCCAGTTCTGTCCCTCCGTGCTTCGGCGCGAGACACTAACCACTTTCAAAATCCCAAGCGTTAACGTCCCGAGCTGTTCCCAGCCTCCCGCCCCGCGAAGCGGATCGACACGCCATCCGCTTGCAAGGCATCGCGTGTCGCCAGGGCTGCCGCCGTGACACGCGAAGCACAAGTTCGCGTGCGCATGTCCTCTCGACTTGCCCGCTGCATGCAGCGGCTGGATACTCTCATCAGATTTTCTCTGCGCCACTGCGAGATTACAGCCTACGTGTCGCCCCCTCCCCCTCAGGCCCTCAATGACAACGGAGGCAAGTCTGCAGGACATGCAAGGATCGTCGGCCTTGAGGCCATCGGGAATTAGGGTGATTAACAGCGGATGCGAGTCGGCGTCAGGAGCAGGAGGTGCAGGCGCGGCAGTCTTGCAAGCGGCAATGGCGACAGTTGCAGTCGCACCCCCAACGGCGACAGCTGCATCTCCATGGCAGTCCCTGCCAAGAAGAAACTCACCTCCGAGCATGCGCACACTTGAAGCTAGATCTGCCGTGTGCCGTGGTTGATTTGCATATGCGTTGGCTCGAAGATGCGTTTCTTATCATGGGTTGCTCTTGTCATGGGATCGGACCGCGTCTGCACCTGACGCAACATCAGCGCCAGAAGCTCCTGCAAGAGTAAGGTCAGTATCGGCACCAGTGTGAGGCCTGCGTTAGTGCTGTTCTCCTCCCGCATCCACTGGCTTGTTCTTCCCAGGAGGGACGAGATCACACAAACACGAATCATCGTCGTCTCCCCCGAAAATGCGGAACATGTGGGAAGTGGAGGGGGAGACAACCACCCATTAAATATGACAAATATTGGGCCCCTTCATCTTCTTGGGAGCAAGAGAAGCAGTTCGGGGAGGGAGGTCCACTGCACTTGCCACCCCCGCAACTTGGTGGTGAGGGAGAGGAGCGCCTCGGGGAGGACGGATTCCATTCCCCTCGTTTCGCTTCCAATCGCGTCCTCCGTCTCTAGCCTATTCGTTTGGCCCTCCTCCGCCCCTCCTCATCACCTGTTCTCCTGATCAGCAGGTACACCCTCGTCCGCTCGGATGGCCACTGGCCAGGGCCAATGATGGGGTCCTCTTGGGGGCCTTTTTGGGGTCCCTCGTGGCCTCTTGGAGTCCTCTTGGGCTGTCTTGGTGCCGTCCTGGGGCCATCTTGGGCCGTCCTGGATCCTTGCCAGCGGTCTTAAGGATCTTTGGGGACCCTCTTGCAGCCCTTGTGGGAACTTCTCAATCAGTCAGGGGGCCGTCCTGAGGGCATCTTCGGCCATCTAGGGGCCTTCTTGGAGCTCTCTGGGGAGCCTTTGGGATGTCATGAGGTTATCGAAGACGCCTACGGCGAATCGCCGCCGCCCCCTGCCTTTTGGAATCGCCCATGTGGCCGAACGTTGTGGCTAGAGCTCCGCCAATTTATCGGACCTCTTGGAGGCCTCTTGGGCCGTTTTGGAGGCATCCTGGGGGCCTCTGCGGCCGTCTTTGGCCGGTTTGGAGGCTTCTTGGGCGAACTTGGAGCTTGGAGGTATCTTGGACTCTATGGGGCCGTCTGGGGGACCATCTTGCACAATCTTGGGCGAACTTGGAGGTCACCTTGGCCGTCTTGGAGGCCATCGTAGGCCATCTTGGAGCCATTTGGAGCAGGAGAAACCTTGGCAAACGGGTCTTCCGGTGACTGGCGTGCTGTGCCGAAGCCCCAGGAACTCTCGGACGTGCAGCACGCCAGGCACCCGTATGTCAAGACTAGCATGGGGCGTCGGATCGAAGACGCCTACGGCGAATCACCGCCGCCCCCTGCCTTTTTGGAAGCGCCTATGTGGCCGAACGTTGAGGCCAGACCTGCCAAGCTATCGGACCACGTGTTCCCCGAATCGGTTTGGAAAGCCTTCGGGGAACACGTGGGCATCTTGAAGGTCATCTTGGCCGTCTTGGAGGCCTCTTGGGCAAGCTTTGGGCGATCTTTGGGGCTTTTTGGGCCGTCTCGGGCCAGCTTCGAGCCAACTTCGGCCATCTTGGTGGGTTCCTGGCACGTCTGAAGCCGTCGGAAGCCGTTTGGGGGGCCTCTATGGGCCGACTTGGGGCCCGCTTGGAATGCTCCAGGGCCGTCTTGGAGGCCATCTTGGGCGTCTGGGAGGCCATCTTGGGCGTGTTGGAGGCCTCTTGGGCCCTCTTGGGGCCCTCTAGGGGCCATCTTGGAGGCCACTTGGGCCATCATGGGGCTCTCTTGGGGGCCTCTTGGGCGATCTTGGGGGCTTCTTGGGCCGTCTCGAGCCGTCGGAGAGCCGAAAAGGCGCAAATGCCAGAATCCTTCAAAAACCAAGGAAAAATCAATGATTTTGGCCTCTTCGGACTCTCCTGGAGGACCTCTTGGAGGCCTCTTGGGCCGTCTGGGAGGCCTCTGGGGGGCCTCTTGGGCCGTCTTGGGCCGTCTTGGACTCTCTTGGGCCGTTTTGGAGGCCGTCTTGGACCATCTCGGGCGGACTTGGAGGCCATCTTGGGCCATCTTCGCGATTTTTTGAGGATGTCCCGAGCGAAACGGCCGTTTTTTGGCGGATTTGTTTCCGGATTGAGGTCCTTTCGGCTTCCTCCCGGGACCCCGGCGGGACGGGCCGGAGCCCACTGGAGAGTTCTTTTAGAAAAAGAACCAAAACCAAAACCTGAAACATCCAGCACGCCGTGCACCCCTGCAAGCAGGGGGCGGCGGATCGAATGGCCTTCGGCCCATCCCGCCACCGTGCCTGGGTTGTGGGTATGAAGCCCATTGGATGTTCGTTGGATCTCGTGGGAGGCCTCTTGGGGGCCTCTTGGAGGCCTCTTGGAGGCAGTTTGTTTGGACGCCTCTTTGGGGGCGTTTTGGGGCCTCTTTTGGGCCTCTTTTGGGCCTCGTTGGATCTCTTCGGTGCCTTTTTGGCTCTCTTGGGGGCCTCTTGGGGGCCTCGTGGGGCGTCCTGGGCGCCTCTTGGGGTCTCCTGGGGGCATTTTGGGGCGGAAGGCTCGGATTTTCGGTTCGTGTTCCCTCTCTTGGGCCCTTTTTGGGGCTGTCTTGGGGCCCTCGTGGGCCGTTTTGGGCGCCTCTTGGGCCGTTTGGGTGCCCTTTTGGGCCGTTTTGGGGCCCTCTTGGAGGCCTCTTGGGCCGTCTTGGGACGGTCTTGGGGGCCTCTAGGGCTGTCTGGAAGCGTCGGGAAACCGAAAAGGCGAGAACGCCCAAATTCTTCTTCCTCATGCACATCAATGATTTTGGCCTCTTGGGGCCCGCTTGGGAGGCCTCTTGGAGGCCTCTTTTGGCGTCTTGGGGCCTCTTGGGCTGCCTGGGGGCCATCTTGAGCGGCTTGGGGCGATCGTTCGGCGATTCGGGGCCTTCCTGGACCGTCTTGGGGGCTTCTTGTCACCCCCTCGGCCCGTCTTGGAGCCCTCTTGGGCTCGCAAACTGCATGCGGGAACATTTCCCAGAACCCTGGGGCACGCGGGAAGCCCCCGGTAGATTCTAGAATTTGGGTTCCTGGCCCCTCAGAGACTCTTCAGGAGTGAAGATTGGGGCACAGAAGATTCGGCAAAGGACCTGAGGACACGCCCGCTCCGACTTTGAGGGCATGTCCCAAGGAGGGTACATAAGTTTACCTGATACCGCTGCCGTCCTGGTTCAAGGCAGCGCCGCCTCATGTGCTAGTTGAGGCGGCGTTGCCTGCACTTGATGTACGGTGTTGGAAGGAGAAAAGGGCCCGTTTCTCCTCCGTCACCATCTGGCCATTCGACATGTTTGTACACTGCGCTTGGTTATTGACAGCCGTTTCTTGGAACCACGCATGCAAACTTGGTAGAAGGAGATGCTGCAGCCGCGGCAGCTCTGCTCACCACAGCCCTCATGTCCACCGTGTACACGAGCCACGACCTGCGGCACGACTACAGTATGAGCAGTAGGGTCAACTACGAGTTCGACCACTACGCGGGCCCCGACACCAGCGCTACCTTTACGCCTACCCCCTCAATTACCCGGGCGGCCCATCGACGCGCGAGGAGACTCGACCGATGAGCTAAAGGCGTTCCTCTCCATGAACACTCCGTCAGGCGCGCGAGGACCCCCGACCGCCACAACGACATCCACCGCATCTACCGACACGTTTTCGACCCCGTTTCCGTTTTCCGTCGCTTGCGGAGACGCGAACGACAATCATATCACCGCCACATCAATCTGCACGTCCCTGACTACGGCTTCACTTATTGGCACTCGTGGAGCCGCGAATGATTCGCGACCCCCCAAAACAGCAAACGGCCCGTTCATCTCCGACCTACAGGCTCGCCGGCTCGCGAACCTTTCTTTGTCGCCAGCCGATCGCGGTAACGCGACAGGCGCCATTTCCACCTCCAGAAGTACACCATGTACTCCCATGTACCTCGGCAGGATCCATTACTTGGACATGGTGGTATATGGACTACTGGCATTGGCCATTTGGCACCATCATCGGCCACGCGAGCCGAGAACGCGCAGTAGACCAAGGCCCTACATGGGATCCAGCAGGCTCGGTGCCTTATGAGTGCGGCGCTGGATCAAGTCACGTTCGCCTTCTTCCTTTATGTTAAGAAGAAGGGAACGTGACCGTGACCGTGACCGTGACCGCGACCGCGACAGCGACCGCGACCGCGACCGCGACCGCGACCGCGACCGTCCTGCAGCGCAGGCTGGCGTGCGCGGGAAGAAGAAGAAGGGAACGTGACCGTGACCGTGACCGTGACCATGACCGTGACCGCGACCGTGACCGTGACCGTGACCGTGACCGTGACCGTGACCGTGACCGTGACCGTGACCGTGACCGCGACCGTGACCGTGACCGTGACCGTGACCGTGACCGTGACCGTGACCGTGACCGTGACCGTGACCGTGACCGCGACCGTGACCGTGACCGTGACCCGCGACCGTGACCGTGACCGTGACCGTGACCGTGACCGTGACCGTGACCGTGGCCGTGACCGTGACCGCGACCGTGACCGTGACCGTGACCGTGACGGAGACCGCGACCGTGACCGCGACCGTGACCGGTACCGTGACCTTGACCGTGACCGTGGCCGGGCCCAGGGCCGCTCCGGGGTCGGTGCTGTGCGAACAAGAAGAAGGCGACCGTGACCGCGACCGTGACTGGAACCGAGACCCAAACGGGTCAAGTCGCGCGGGCAGACCCTGACGGGTCGGGTCGGGCGGGCAGGACGTGAAAGTACGGTGCACGATCGAGGAGGCACGCGAGAACCCGAACGAGTCGGGACGGGTCGGGCAGACCCGAAGGGGGCGGGGCGGGGCAGACGGGGCAACCCGGACGGTT